TTTCCCTTCACATCTGTTGCCACAGGACAGGCAGGGTTTCTGCATCTAGAAGTTTTGTCTTTTCTTCCCAGCTGTGATCTCTGCTTGAGGAACTGGGATCTGTGCCTATTTCAAACACCAAGGGGCTTGGATACCCGTCAAGGTGGTCCTTTGTGATCCGTGTGCCATGTACCATTTGTCCACTAGGAGCCACAGTAAGAGCACTATTGGGTTGTCCTCTGGTCAGGTCCAGTAGCTACTGCTGTCTTGGAATGGGATAGGTAGAACACCTTAAAAGGATACCTACTGATCTGGGGGGTTTTTGGTGGTCGCTTGTGGGGTTTGATTTTAATTTTTATTTTTTTAAATGTATTTTGGTAGCTTCTGGTATTAATCTGGTGCCAGATGCATTTAGTGTGCCATCATTCCATGTATGCTTTGGTGTTACAACAGCTCTAAACTAGAAAATGACTTCAAAGAGATATATAGTGAGTAAAAGATTAGAAGTGGAATCAAAATGAAATAAAATTAAATCAATCCACCCAAAAAGATAACTTAGTTCTTTGTAGACTGCAACACTGTGTTATTTTTTCAGCTTGCAAAATATAGAAAAGAATCTTCACCTTTAAAACTTTAAATTCACAGAAACATACCCACTTATTTCCTTTTCTTCCCCTAAATATGTATTTTTCATTCTTCCCTCTAAGTCTTCTTGTAGGAACGGCCTTTATGATTCTGCCCATATTTCTTCTTTATAGATAAGAGAAGCATATATTGCTGTTGTCTCTCAACTGGATAAAGCTGTTGAATTGCAATAACTGAACTCATTGTAAAGATACATTTCTTTGAGGGAAAGGGGAAAATTATCTTTTTTTTTCTTTTTTTTCCCCCCTTATGTGTGTAGCTCTGTAAAGCTCAGGCTCTAACATACTTGTTTTGGTCTAACCAAGGAGTCAGTTACTAACTAAGATTTAGGTGTTTGCTCAAAAGCTTCAATTAATTTATTAATAATTCAATCAGGAAAGAAATTTGGTGAACCCTTAAGGACTTTCATTAATGTAATGAAAAATAATATGAATTGCATATATGCTTAATGGCTTTTCTAAACAGACATCTACAAGACATTTAAATAGTCACAATGAGATGATTTGCAGGACTGAAGTTAAGTTCTAAGATGCCATTTATGTGCTTATACTTATTACCTCCTTAAGCAATTTTGTATTTGATGATTTTTAATATTGTCACCAAAATTTCAGAAGAATCAGTTGTGTAACATGGATACATTAAAGATTTGACCAAATACACTTATAATGGCTTTGATTTATTGCGCAAATGTTGACTAAGGCACTTGACTAGCAAACCAACCTGAATTCAGGGGCTTTATTTTAAGGTATAAAATGCCATGTGGAGTTAATATAGTGCAGATACACACTTAAACACAGTTTTGTAATTGCTTTACACTGACATTAGGTGGGACTCAAAGATCTCACTCTGCTGAAGATGTTTTACTAAGTTGTTATGAAGGGACCACGAACATTAAAAAAACCTTCTGTTAGGAATGCAACTATGTGAGCATCTGTGAAGACTTTGAGAAAAGCTTGTTAGTCTAACATTGATTTTCCTGGGATTTGCTGTGACTGAGAAAGAAAGTGTTGAAGCATTCTCTCATATGTCATCAACAATAGTGAAAATGAGATTTGTAGTATGATAAAGCTTTATAAGTCTCCCCAGTCACTTAAAAATTATTAATCATTTCCAGACGCAGGCCTCTGGTCTAGGAATCTTATTTTTGGAGAATAAAATTCCAGACTGACTGCTAATTTTGCAGCCCTGTCTCTATTTCACATGGGAAGGTGCCTGACTTGGTGACTGATACAACTGTCCTTGGGCAGGAGAGAAGACTTCTCCTACAATTAGGACATGTCTTGTTGATGGAGTGAGGTAGCATGTACCATTTCCATTTATATGTGCTTGCATGCACATTTTCCCTAAGGTAACATTTCCTATTATTTTTGGGGATCATAAAACTTCTTCATGTAGGTAAGTATATTTATTTCAATCTATAAATAAAGCTAAGATTGCTGGCCAAAACTCCAATTGCTCTTTGCAAAAGTAAAATAATAATAAAGTAAATTAAATGGTTTCATGATTTATTCCCATCATATATAATTTCTGTAAATCCACATTTATGACTTTAAATTTGAACTGACAGATCCTTTGTAGATTAAATAAGGCTCAAGAGTTGCAGGAAACTGCTCCTATTCATCTGTCACCTTTCATCCCCTGAAGTTGCATTGAGTCTTACCACCCTGTCTTCTTGAAAGTTTACTTTATTGCCCTGCCTTCTATATCCTCACCCAACATTTTTAATTTAACTTTCCTTTCTGCTCTGTCTCCAGGCTTCAAACTTCCCATGCTCTTTTCAAACCAAATTATGTCATTCTTTTAATATATGCCTTTAATCTGAGGCTCTGGAATTTTACAGAAGCTCAGGACAGGAAGAGGAGAAATAATTCAGTCCATTTATTTGGTGGCAAGAAGATGACAAGAAAGAATCAGCTGGGTCTATAAGAGATTGGTCTTTTTAAACCTGAAGGTGACCACAAAAGGATGGGCATCCCAGGACATCAGAGATGCAGATCTACAGCAATGTGGCTTTAAACAAGTTGGATATTTTTCTTATAATGTATACAAGCAAGGTGCAGTTTAGGAGCATTGGAGTCCAGGAAGACTGCATTTTCTTTACACTGACCAGAAAGAGGTGGTGGCCTGGAGGAAAAGTAAGGAAAGAAGTATGTGATTACAAGGAAATTACAGCAATTTCATGATTATAAACCACACCTGATTATAAGCCGCAAATCTGAGTGTCAGCAACTGTCTTGGGCTACAATACAGAGTGTGGTAAAAGGCATCTATTCTATCACTGTCTGTTGAGAGTGGGGGCAGTGATCCTTATCTCCACGGGAGAATTCTGCTAATGGGCCATCCATT